TCTGATTTACATAGCAGCAGGTTTAAAGACACCTCTTTGATTTGGTCCCAGATCTTGGACCTGCGTTCATCAAGCATGAACACAAATGGTCTCCAAAGCGGGTGAGTGCCTCAGCCAGAGTCTCGGCCGGTACCTAGGCCAGTATGAAGAGGATTAAGCGACCCGGTCTACCGGTAGTTCTACCGGTCGGTGATTGAAGCCGTACGTAAGGAGGAGTTTGGATTGCACTGCAAGGAGTGACCTGCTGGCCATACTCAACTGCAGTTGTGCAGTATATCAACAATGAAAGCAAAATATGTCGTACATTAGTAGCAAACAAGGCTGCCAAATACATCAGATAAGGTATGAGATCCGGAATGGGACCGTTCGAGTACCGGGCGAGCTCGGCCCGCCCAGTAAGCTGCCGCCCGCTTCGAACACTGTACCCGCCCGGTTACTCAAGCGTGACGCTCGGTTGCCTGCTGGAGTGGCCCTCTGGGTCACAACAATAGCTGTAATCAACGGATTAGTGGTTATTGTTCGAGGATTACAGCGCCCAACTCAGGTTGGGTTGGTGTGGAATTTTATTCTTTTCTATCTTCATAGAATGCAAGTATTTTATGTTTGCATGAAATCATTTGACAAATAAACTTGATAAAACTGCCTAGTTTGCAAAGTTCTATATATGAACAATAGTTAAAAGCTAGATGATCAAGGTGTGATTTTTTTTCTTTTAACTTTTCGAAATACGATGTTCGATATCTATATTCTCGGAATTGATCAAATGTACGAAATACCTCATTCTGTATTAATTGAAATAAAGTATTCCCCATATGACGAACATGAATTGTTTTGCGTGTGGTAATGATGTGATGTTGTTGAATTTTAGACTACAACACCGCACTTGCCCCTTATTCACGTTAATGCATACGCATTTTAATCAGAAAAGTCTGATACCCGTTTGAGAATAGAAGCTGGCGGGCTTGACCCCCGATCGGTATGAAGTGGCCCACTCGGTAGCCCCGATCGGTATGAATACTGGGCACTCTTTTATTCAAGCGTGACGCTCGAGAAGCAGGTGGGAGTGACCCACTCTGTAGCTCCCGATCGGTATGAACACTCGGTTATTCAAGCGTGAGCTTGGTTGACTGGAGTGGCTCTCTTGGTCGCTATCAACGGATTAATGGTTATTGTTCGAGGATTACAGCGCCAAACTCAGGTTGGGTTGGTGTGGAAGACACTGGCAATCATTATATTTTTTGTGGAATTGTATTCTTTTCTAGCTTCATAGAATGCAAGTGTTTTGTTTTTGCATGAAATCATTTGACAAATGAACTTGATACAACTGCCTAGTTTGCAAGGTCTGTATATGAACAATGGTGTGATTTTTTTTTCTGTGAATTTTTCGAAATACGATGTTCCATATCTATATTCTCGGAATTGATCAAATGTACGAAATACCTCATTCTGTATTAATTGAAATAAAGTATTCCCCATATGACGAACATGAATTGTTTTGCGTGTGGTAATGATGTGATGTTGTTGAATTTTAGACTACGACACCGCACTTGCCCCTTATTCACGTTAATTCATACGCATTTTAAACAGAAAAGTCTGATACCCGTTTGAGAATAGAAGCGGGCGGGCTTGACCCCCGATCGGTATGAAGTGGCCCACTCGGTAGCCCCGATCGGTATGCATACTGGGCACTTTTTTATTCAAGCGTGACGCTCGAGAAGCGGGTGGGAATAACCCACTCTGTAGCTCCCGATCGGTATGAACGCTCGGTTATTCAAGCGTGAGCTTGGTTGACTGGAGTGGCTCTCTTGGTCGCTATCAACGGATTAGTGGTTATTGTTCGAGGAGTACAGCGCCTGGCCAACTATGGTTTGCCCTGGCTATGATTATCTGCAGCATTTTCTTTGCTATAGAGTATAGAATGGCAGTATTTTCTTTGCATGAACACGTGTAAATGTAGGCCTACATGGGTTTTACTGATTGCTTGACGTACAACGTATTATTTTCCCCCTTTGTTTTAAGGTTTAAGTTTTTCTGTTGACGCAAAAACTTCACTCACTTTAAATCCTGAAACCAGATTTTTATGTGTACATTTTTTGTTCACCCTGAGACTCATTTCAATTAATAGTTGGAATATTTTTTTCTAGCTATTCTAATTTCTATCTAGAAAATATGCAAGATAAGACATTGCAAAATTGTACGTGAACACGCACATTCTTTAATCAAACCACTGAGCTGTGAAAGCAACTTGTGAATGACTACTACATGGACCACGTTCCCGCCCGTCGTCCGTGTACGGGACCCGGTGTCATACGAAAATCGGACTCGTATGAAAATCGGACTCTTTTCCCCTTTTATTGGTTAAACCCTCTCACGTGACCGGTCCATCTCCTAATGGTCTATGCAAGGGCATGCGCAATACCCCCAATGAGTCCGTACTTCATACAACCTAAATTCATGCTGCACTGGCGTCAAGTGAGCGCAGGGCAAACCTTCTTTGTCATTCATTGAACGGTCTCCCTCATGTCTTAATATCGAATACATACAGCGCAGCGGGGGATATCTAACCGTAGGAACAGCCCATGACGTATACTGCTTTGTTGCAACGCGGGATTGGGTGTCAGACAGAAAGTGTGATACACGCTGTAAACATAATAGTCTGATACCCTTTCACTATACTTTGTGATAAACGAAACTCTAATGTCGCAGCGAGCGCATTAACTTCAGCGTTCTGACAACAGTCATCGTGGTTGCAAACACGCAGAAAACCTGTGACTTCAGAGTATAAAAGATAGCCATGTATTAAACGTCACATTTGCGTTTACCTTGATGGCATGATTGGTTCATTGGCGAATGTAATGGGAATTAGTAAACAGACTTTACAACCGTGCCGTCGATGATCATTTAGGCCCTGACCCGGAGCCATTGCAAGTGTACCAGAATGCTAAAAAAAAATGTTTTTTTACATATTTCCAAAGAAAACAATGTTGTGAAAGGGTCTCATTGAATTCCCTAAATTTGTTATTTGATTGCAATTCATAGTTCTGTGTGAGAGGAGAATAAAGAAATATGTGCCTTGATGATATATTGGTCCACGCGATTTTACATGTAGGCCTGTACAAAATACATGTAGGCTAGGCTACATCATCAGTTTTCCATGCCTGACAACCCTTTTTAGCATCTACAATCCGCTAAACAACTAATACAATTATTATCTAGGAGTGGCTAACTTCCATTGCCCCATCAACTCCATGTATTCCGGGCTTTTAAAAAATTTCATTGGATAATAATTTAAAGTTGGGCATCTTTTATATCTAAATTTGCTTACAGTTGTATTCCTTGAACTTCATGTCTATTTATTCTACAGCCTTTCTTTAATCTTACAGAAAAACTGTGTTTCCAAATGGCTGAGGTTATATATTTAATATTAAGTAGTACTTCTTAAAATGATTATGTTCATCGGAAATTTGTGTCCCCTTAAAGTTCTGTATTTAATCTTAAATAACTGTAAATTATTTTTTATTATATTTTGAAAAACAAACACACCAGACACATTGAATTGAAAATTGTTCTTTTATTTGGATATCATTTGATCTCTTTTGGGAAAATGTTTGGCTCTGAAAAGAGCCGTTTGGTTTTGTTTTTTCTGCTGTACCGGCTTCTAGGCCGAGTGGACGAGGCGGTGATGGCGATCCCTGTCTGCTACACTCTGGAATACTTTTTTGCACCCTGCTGTATTTGGATATTGGATGTATTTGGATATTGGGCTAACCGGAAAGCTTTTATTAATGTTCAGTCTTCGTCTACTCAAATCAATAGTGTGCTTTAATCACTAGATTACGGATACAGTTGTTTATTTTTTTATGCTTTTTTTACAAAAAGTTTTCTGTGTAATTAATGATCTTCGGTGGCTTTTATCATCATCACGAAGAAATGTTCACACCACCATCAGAATAGATCAAGGGAAAATAACAAAGGTAATGGTAATAACAACAATAAAACGAAAAGACGAAAAGAAAATCAAAGGTTGAAAGCTCTCCGTCTTTATTATTGTTCATCATCGGTATACCTCTTTCCCTTTCCTGCCTTTGGACTATCTGTTGAACGAAAAAAATTAATTAATGCACGTAAATAGAACAAACTGGGGAATTCTGATCTTAATACTGAACAAAATACCAAACCCGTTTGCTTTAAAAGTCAGATTCAGGGATTCATCGGTGCAAGTCCATATACATTTGTATACATTTAAGGGGAGAAAAACGTACCACGTAACTAATTGAAACCCATGTTCACTGATCACTCAAGCTTTTCAATAGGCCTGCGAGGGCAATGGGTCACCAACAATAGCAGTCCACGGGAGGGATTACCGGCGGCGCGCCCTTTGATTTGCCGGGTCTTTGTTACCCAGCAGTGAGGATTATCGCCTTGCAAATTGCTTCTTTTGTTAGGTTCAGGAGAGGGCCCACCAGTCAGACTTGTACTTCGTTCTCTTAATCCGAGCTCGCCCACTTTGGAGAGGACTCCCAATCCCTTTCTCGGAGTGGGCGAGGCTTAGCCCAGACCGTCTGGGAACCGGGCGGTAAGGGATCTCATACCTAAGCGATATGGCCGAGTGGAGACGTCGAAACTTGCAGGAACCAAGCAGATGTTAGTTCTAGACGGGTGCACGCAAGGGATCTCTCACAGTGGCTGGAAGGACCCAAGTTTCTGACAAAGGAAGGTCATCAGTGGCTAGAGTTGGAAGACTGTTTTTCCTGACACCGACGTCCAGTCGACCCAGCAGTGAAACCCTGTCCTAATGTGGGTTGTGCTGATCCAATTGAAGAGTTGATAACAAGGCATTCCTCTTGGATTCGTCTCAAACGGGTAAGTGCGTGGGTACGCAGATTTAAGAGTAACTTGTGCTCACATACCAGAAGAGGGGCAGTGTTTGAAGACACAGAAACCCAAACAGCCAGAGAGTTATATGTCGCTAAGGAGGAAGCAATCAAGCTTGTCCAAAGATGAAGAAGCAGGAAATTAAGAAGACACAAGGTAAGTAGCCAGCTTGAGAGATTCAACCCCGTTGTGGTTGATGAGCTTCTACGTGTAGGAGGCAGGTTGGACAGAGCTCCAGAAGCGAAATGCTGTTCGTGGAAGCACGGCCAGAGTGACGCCAGACAAACCACCCTTTATAGCCATTACGGAGTTGATCACTTCGGTCCATTCCTGGTTAAGCAAGGAAGTAGCCGATTTAAAAGATACGGTTGCATCTTCGCGTGCATGTCAAGCAGAGCTGTAGCCTCTGACTGGAGACCTTCATCAAGGCTCTGCGACGGTTCGTCAATTGTCGAGGCCCCCTGGATATACCTTCAGTGACAACGGAATTCGTGTTGAGTGGCATTTCAATTCCCAACAGCTACCCATAAGCGAAGAGTGTGGAGATGGGTCACCCGCTCTGTGAGAAGGATCCTAGAGAATCTCCTTTAGCAACAAACATTAACCGATAAGTCCTGATCACCATCATGGCAAAGGTAGAAGCTATCCCGAACGCTCGACTCCTAACACAACTGAATATTTTCTGAAAAGATGAAGAATCGTTGCTTCCCAACCAACTGCTCTTGCTCCGAAGAAAGCACAGTTTGCCCCTGATATTTTCTCCAAAGAAGATAGCTACCTCCGAAGAAGATGGAGGCAATTCCAGTACCTTGTAGACCAGTTCTGGAGACGATGGCCAGCAAAGGCGGGAAAAAAATTAAAAATAAAAATATTGGTGTTTCAGAAACGAAATAATCTCCTACTCTAAACACCACAAATTGACGTGATGAGAACACAATGGTCATCATAATGCATTTTACAACAGTTACTATAACCTTCAGGAATCACGTTACCCTATTAACGTGATTAATAGATAATATTTAGGTGTAAATAGAACGTAAAAACACCCCCCCCCCCTAAAAACAAAGCCAATGGAAATCACTTACACCAAGTGTAAATTTGGTTTTGGAAAACACCAATCATAGATCCAATTCATTAACAATTCACCAAAGTGGTTTCTCTTGTTTCGTTAGCTGTGATCCCATGTACTTTAAAAATGAGAAATACATATATAATACCATTAACCTTATATATTGTACCTTCCTGCAGATTACTAAATCCCAAAAAAATGTTCACTGAGTGTCATAATTGTTCCATACGTTGCTACAGGTTGGTAAATACTTACTGTTTGCTTATTATTTTGAATGCTTTCTAGACATAGAGAAAGTAATCGCAGACATTTCTTCAGAACCATTGAGTGGAGCCCATTTGACCGCCAAGAAAGTGAAGGAACCAGATTGTATTTTAGTGGATGGTAAGGCTTTACATGCAAGATCATTTTGATAAAATATATAATGTTACATAGTTGTGTGTTCGCAACTTCTTGGTTAGTCTATTTACACTTGTACATTCGGAGTGTCTTGGTTATCATTACTCATTACTGTTAGATACATGGAAACAGTGTGTCCGTCAACATTTGGTACCAGCTAAGACACAAAAAAAATTATAATCAAGTAGAAAACTTTTGGCGTAAAATATACACCTTTCTATGCCCTAAAACAAAATCCAACAACAACCTTGCAAAAATAAACTGCAACACGACTATAATTTCTAAATGTATAAATTTAGCCTTTCCACTTGTTTGACAAGAAAATATTAGCCATCTTCCATCTCGACCGCACGTAAAACATTTGGAAAGTTTTGTTGCTCCCTTTAAATTGATTGAGATTGTGATGACTGTAGTCTTGAAGATTTCTGAAATGTTCAACTTTCCACTTTTGCATGGAATTGCCCATATGGAAGATCTGAAACATTGATATGCTTTGCATCCAATTTGTCAGTCCCGGATACCTCTCAGTTTGAATATGTTGTGATAATCTTTTTTTTCTGTGAGCTTTAACTGTGTGAATTGTTACAGGAAAAATTTTACAATGTAATGTCTTAACAAAATTAGTTAGGCCTACATGTAGGTTGCAGCTTTTAGTATTTTTATAAACTTTTTTTGTGTTGAAGGTCTTTCGCGAGAAACATCTTTGAAGATCATACAGTATTATTTTGGCAACGAGAAGGAAAGTGGCGGCACCGGTGTCAGAGACGTGCAGCAGGGACCAACAGACACTCAGGCTATTGTCTACTTTGAAGACTGGAAAGGTATGCCAAGATTTCATGCAGACACACAGCTACAATAACTTTTTTTTAGTTTTTGTGTGAATACACACTGTCAATATTTTATTCTCATAATTAATAGGCTGTGTTTGCATTGTCTTAAACAAGAAACTTTCAGAATTGTCCTTCACAATTGGAGTATTTATATTTACTTGAATTATTACAGCTAAAAGGATCAAAGATCTGATTCATATCATTCATAGTTATTTACAGTGAAATCTGGAATTGATCAAGTTGTTTTTGCGTTAATTCTTTTATATCATAGCTGTTGGTGACGTTCTGTCTAAACGGAGTCCCCACAAGATTGGTGACACCGAGTTGTTGGTTGAAGAGTATCATGAATGCCTGGGAAGACTGAGTCCAGTAGATGTTCCTACTCCTCATGTCCCTAAGCCAGTCATTGTACAAGTCCAAGAACCCATCATGGAGTTCATCTTCGGGAAGGGCCAACACACAAAGACAAAGTTGATTCAGAAGATTAGGAATGCAAAGGCCATTCTGAAATGGCCGGATGGTGACGACAAGACATCAGCTAGGCTGGAACCTCTTCTGGAAGATAGACAGGGACAATCGTCTTGGCTCCAATGGTCTGAAACTGCTTCCCGAGTTGTGACGGACTTCCTAAACAGGTGTAAGTCATCCAGAATTGCAGTCCCACCGCCATTTTGGAAAGACGTCATTGATAGCATAGATCAACTTAGCACCAAGAGCTTCTCCATTCAGCCTGATGCTAGCACTCATGTAGTCACTCTGACCGGGGAGCAGCAAGACGTTGATAAAGGATGTAATGATATCGATCGAATCATTGAGAAGTCGAGAGCAAAGGCTGAATATGAAGCACAGCATAAAGAAGAAGGCATAACCTTGACAGAAGAGAAGTCCCAGTTTTTTATCATGTGTGGCATCAAGGATAACATTGAAAAAGACTTTCCGAACCTGAAGATCACTGTGATCTCTTTACAAGATAAAATCAAACTAATTTTTGAAGGATCACGTGAGATCGTCCAGGAAGCAGAGCTATCGATGCGGAGGCAGATGGACAGTCTGGAGAGAGTAGAACTCAAAACGGGACGCAACAAAGTTAGGTTTGTTCAGAATGTTACCGACAAGATCCATGAGATCTTGCGATCACAGAGCATTAGAGCAGCATGCAATGGATCCGATGATGGCAAGATCGTCATATCTGGTGCCTCTAAGAAGGATACGGTTCAAGCTAAAGCATACATCGATCAGGAAATACGAGAGGTTGACATTGCTATCAAAGACCAAGCTGCAATGGATGTTCTCCAGAGCCCAAACGGCCAGAGGCTCCTTGAAGAAATAAACAGGCAGAAATCTGTAATGGTAGCCATCAGCAATTATGGAGGTACAATCTGGGGGAAAAACAGTCCCAATAGAAATAATAAAATTTTCAATCATCTTTTACACCGAGAAACCCCAAATCAAACTCCTTTTACTTGGTTTGACATTCAGTTTCCACATATAGTGTGGGGGAAATTGTTATCAGAAAACTTGTAGATTTTCAAAAGGTACACTGTTTAGACATTCTTACGAGGTCAGTTCATTAAAATGTACGTCCCCTCTTGTTAAATTCACTTTATTTTCTTGTTCTGCAGGTAACATTGTTGAATTTGCAGGATTCAAGGATAACTTGGGCGCGACAAAGCAAAAAGTCATGGATTTCCTGAAAGATAATGTAATTGTCAGGAAAACCGTTCCAGCAAACAAGAACAAAGTTTATCTTATCACCAAATTCCATGGCCAGGATCTGGTAAATTTGGAAAAGCAAAATGCTAGAAATCACGTGAAAATCCAACAACTGAGGAATGGCGGCAACAAGGGATTTGTGATTCAAGGAAATGAAGAGGGTTCGGAAGCCGCAAGGCAGGCCATTGCTTCCCTGATAGATAGAATCAAGGGGCAGCAATATCCAGTCTCAAAGACTGGAATGGCCCAACTCTTAAGAGAACAAAAAGGGAGAAGGTTTTTAGAATCGCTTGAATCAGATCACGAGTGTGTTATCAGAGAGAATGTGAAGGAAGACAGCGATGGTGAAGCCAAATTTGAAGAAAGCACAGCCTTGAGACCAGTGGTACCTACAAAGGTGCTCTGCCGAATTGCTCTACCAAATGGCTTTACTTTGAAAGTATGCAGAGGCGACCTGACAAGGCAAAAAGTAGACTGCATAGTCAACGCTGCAAATACGAAACTGAATCATGATACAGGACTAGCAGCTGCTATAGTTGAAGCAGGTATTGCCTAAATGGATAATATATGAAATACGTTAAACACTGTAAATGGAGGGATTCATTCTCACGTGGGCTAATGCGGGTTTTGATGCATTACCTGTAACATTTGGCAGGAACAGATAAATGGTATGTCTTCATTTCTCTTCAGGTGGGAAAGTTATTCAGGATGAATGTGAGCAGATACTGAAGACAAAGGGCCGCCGATTGTTCATGGGCGAGGCTGTTCACACTACTAACGGGAAACTACCCTGCAAGACAGTTATTCATGTTGCAGGACCTAAATGGCCACATCGTAGAGGAGCCACATCTAAGTCAGCTGATGATGAGCCAACTTCCGAAGAGCGTCTACTGTGTGGCAGCATCATCAATTGCCTGAAACTCGCCAATAAGCTGAATTTGCAGTCCATTGCCATACCAGCCATAAGCACTGGTGTTTATGGCTTCCCAGTTGACCTCGCCGCAAAGCAGATCCTTAACGCTGTGGCTGAGTTCTGTCAGAACACGCCCGACCCTACTCTGACGGAGATTCATTTCATCAACAATGACCAGCCAACCTGTGACGTATTCAGAACGGCGGTGATGGATCGATTTAGCCAATTTCATGTCGAGAAAGATGGCACTGACGTTGACAAGTGTTAGTGGATTTGAACATATTGTTAATGCATATTTTATATAGTTATAGCATGCCATAGGTCTGCATATAACGGAATTTGCTTTGTTACAGCATGGTTTTGGAGTGTAAATTTAACTGGTCACTTGACGTAAAAGTTGATGTGCATATCCATCTTCTTTTAGCATATGTGAGACCACAACAATGACCAAGAGTTTGTACAAAACAAAAATCATGTTGGATTTGTTTTCCCCTTTAACTATCATTTTGTTATTGCTTAAAGACCCAATAGTAATAAAATTGCGATCATGTTGCAACATCATGCTGTAGTCGGGGGCAAATGACAACTTTCAAATTTTTATTGAAGCCTTGTCATTTCCTGTTTACAAAGCATCATTTCAACTTAGTAAACAAATATTGATTATTTGTCTAATATCTACCACAGTGCCTGGAGGTGAAAGTTGGGATCCACCAATTGTTGATTTCGTACCACAAACCGCCCATGCTTCTGCTCGAGCTCCAGCTCCAGCCCAAGCCCCAGCCCCAAGGATTACTTCATTTGGGCAAACCATCCTGACAACAATGGAGGGCATCAACATAACCCTGAAGAAAGGAAGCATCACCAGTGAAACGGTAACAGCCATTTTGTCCCTGCATGCATAATCTTTGTAATAATCATGCAGATGATTTATTGCAAAAATATCAGATGATTTATTGCAAACAATATCCGAGTGTTATATTGTGGGGTTCTTTTACAATGAATCTAAACAGAACAGACTCACCAATATGTTGTGAGAGACTTGTCATGTGGGTGCTAACATCTTGAACTGCTCTTTATTGCATACTGGCTTCGTAACATGTAGTTCGTGTCGCGAACGTACATATGCACAGATCAATCATTACAACTCCGAGTGTCAATGAAACAGAGTTGAAATGACTGAATGGGGCATTTTCTGTTTAAACAGGATCTACATACTTTATCTTAGTCAGAATATTCGGTCTGGTATTCAGACTGAAAGATGTCAGTTTTAAGCAAGACGAAGTTTAATTAGAATGATACCAGACATCAACCAACTTGTTTTTCCTGTTACAACTTCAACATGTTTCGCTTTGAAAGAGAAACCTTAGGCTGAATAGGTACATACTCGGTGCATTTGCATTTTTTAATTGTTTTGCGATACAGGTTGATGTAATAGTCAACACTGCTGGAACTGACATGAAGCTAAGTGAAGGTGCAGTGTCTAAGGCCATATTGCAGGCAGCTGGGCAAGCCTTACAGCTAGAGTGCAGCACAGTGACTTCTACTCGTGGGAAAATCCCAGCTGGTGAATACATAGAAACGGGACCGGCTGCTCTTACATGCAAAAAGGTATACCACTGCGTCTGTGAAAGTTACAGTCCAGCCAGAGCTGAGCAGGTGAGAGAGGAGTAATGCATAAGATTTGAAGAAAAGGCGATTGGTATTCGCCAAATTTCATAAGTTTGATTTGAGAAAGGTGCAATTCTTTATTAAACATGTTATTCTTCAATTATTCATTGCTGCACACAATTTCGTTAGGTCAATGCTTCTTCAACCTGGCATTATGCCATAACCACCCCCACCCCCACCCCAAAAAATGCCTGTCTTCCTGCCCCATCAGAATTTGAAAAGTTATAAAGAGTTGCTGTTATAGGAACCTTTTAAACTACGAGTTTCCCTCATTAACACCATTGTAGAAATAAAAGATGGCCTAAAAAGGATTGACAGGAGCAGCGAAAAAGGTTATTACTTTTTGATTTAGTTCCTGAAGGAGCTTGTCCACAGTTTAATGGAGCACGCTGAGCAAGATGGAATGCTTTCCATAGCAATCCCAGCACTCGGTACAGGCAACCTGAACTACCCAGCTGATGTCACTGCCCGGGTCATGTATGAATCAGTCTTGGAATTCAGCAGTCAACATCCGAATGGTGTACTGAAGGACGTCCGCTTTGTAGTGTACGAGAAAGATGTGAGCACTGTGCAGGTATGTTCATCTCAACATTTCAACTGCAAATCTGTTTTGACCATGGGCAACTGTCGTCGAAAAGCACCCCTTCTGCGTTAATTGACTTTCGTTGACCGGGAAACAGCACACATAACTCCTTTTAACACAGATATATTCATACATTTTCAACAAGCTGGCAGGTTGTGTTTAGCCACTCATGAATCATGTCTCATCCAAATGTTTTACATTGTCCTAGTGGCGTAGATTAATTCAAATAATACTATCAGTGAAAAAGAAGGCAAAAGCAGGAATGCGCACAACTTTCTTATTTCACTGCAAATGTGTATTACAAAAACTCGAGATTACACGATGCAGGGCTTAACTCAGGTAATTCTAATATGTAGAAACATATGGTGTAGTGATTTCAGTAAGACGAAGCAAATTCTTTATTTATCAATTTTTCGAGGAAGGGGAGGATGCCAATTGCACCCCCATTGACACTCCTGCGGACGTCCATGTTGAATATATATTATGTTAACAGCAACATGACTTTGCCATTCTCGTCAGGTTTTTGGTCTTCTTTTTTGGGGGGAGGGGGTTCTGAGGGGGGGGGGGGGCAAGCGCCCCCTCTTGGCCTCCCCTGCGACGACCTCATCATAAGAATCTGTGTCTGTGATCCTCCACGTGACCCAGCAGGACCGTGGGCCTTATTCACCCTCATCTATAGCAATTACATTCCCACTTTGCCCAGGTTCAGTAGCAGCGCAATTTAACACCCCATACCTATAGAAAAGTACATCCAAAATTGAACGAAATGCACACTTTTCCCGGGTTCGGTAGTAGCGCAGTGAGGAAATATTACGCATGAGTAATTTTAACACCCCTTTTACGGCAAATTAAATCAATATATTTCCCGAAATTCCTACTTTCCCCAGATTCGGAAGTAGCGCAATATAGGAATATTAACAATGGGTGATATTATCGGCAATTTTCTGTATCAGTTACTTCAAATTGACGTTAATTTTCACTTTGCCCAGGTTTAGTAACAGCTCAATGTAGAAATAATACCAATGTTTAATAAAACCCTTCATCAATGGCAAATTTAATCAAAATTGGCCGAATTCCCACTTTGCCCAGATTCAGTAGTAGCGCAGTGTGGGAATATTGCGCGTGGGTAATTTTAACATCCCTTTTCCATGGCAAATTAAATCAGTATTTCCCAAAATTCCTATTTTACCCAGTTTCACTAGTAGCGCAATGTAGGAATATTAACTATGGGTAATTTTGTAGATCGGTATTTCGATCGAAGTTCACGGACAGAATACGACTATGTAACGACTTGTCATCAATTCTACCAAATTTCCTTAAAAAATGCACAATTTTGAGGGGTCGTGAAACTGGATTGCTGTGCTAAAGTTTATTATATAAATACATGTACATTTTACATGTAAATACCAACATTGCTTATCACCCACAATTAAGGCATGGGCGCTAAATCTTACAGACATGAATTTCCACTTATATTATTATTACATGTAAAACGTGTGCTCGCGTAAATGACAAAAACTGTGAAATCTTTATTAAGTTATTAAATCTTTATGAATTTTGTAGTGTTTTGAGAGCGAAATTCAACGCCTAATGACCCCTGCAACACCAAATGGAGCTACAGGATTCATCCCTTCCGGCCACGAAAAGAAGTTGATAAATACTGTTCCATTATCAGGTAAAAAATATTGTTGTTGTATATTTAACTTACATTAAAAAATACTTTGGAGACTTGATGGCTTCTGATTTGTCGAGACTCAATCACGTGGGTGTATTAACGGTTATGTAAAGACCGGCTTCAGAGAACAAGCGAATTAATGGCCCCTGAACCAGCATCGATCCAGCTAGCTCATGGAAGCCAATGACTTGCCAAATTTACAACAGTCCTACGGTAGCTTGTAACCACCATAGCGTGAAGACTTTCTTGCGCCATCAACACAGTTACCATATGGGTGAGTGCATGAGAGGAAGTTTTCAACATAGATTTAAATCAAATTAGGTTTTGCCCTTCACCTACGTTTAAACACTGTATTCTCAGTCTGTTACCTCCCGAGTGAAAGTTGGAAAAAATCACTCGGGTGGGACTCGATCCCATGATCTCCTGCTTTCTAGTGCAGATGTCTTATCACTCGACCACCGAGCTAACGGGATCGGTTGGCTGGTTCGAATATGATGTACATAGCAGCGGGTACCGCATTAACTATTATTCGGGTTTTCACACCGACGTTTAAACACTATAAATCTTCAAGAAAATGTTTTTGTATGAAAACTGTGTTGAAAGAACACCACAGACGAATAAAAATTGCTCCACGTTCTTTACCATTCACGTACGATCTGTGACCATGAATCTGTTATTTCCGCAGCGACAATCGGTATGGTTTAATGTGTTCACGCCGTGCGCGCAGAGTTCGTATCGTAGTCGTATTTTAATCGTATTGTCTTGTGAATACCTCACAACAGCGTCTGCCAAGCCCCTCGATGTATTCGATATACATGCAAATAAGGGGTCCGGAGCATGCATGTCATGTAGTCAGACTTTGAAATCATCCGCCAACACACCAACCATCCCCTGCATCTTGTTCCCAAGTAGCGTCATCTTCGTCGGTTCGGTCACGTACAGCCGCTGCCTTGAACCTCCACCCCTGCTGCTGTCTCCTACACTTAGCCAATCTTTCAGCAGCGGGAAACACCCACGGGAACACCTTTGATCCATAAGCCTCCAGACTCTGCTGGGTACTTCCTTGGCCCAAGCAATTAATCTAGCCTTTAACCGACACCGATAGCGTCACCTATGGGAAAATGTGACATTTACGCTAGGTAACTGGATAACAGTGTATGAACGAGGTTTTTTTCTGCATTCAATTGGGGACGTTGAACAATAGAGGACAATAGGGTCCCAAATTTGGCGATCGGGTACAAAATTTATAGGACATTATTGGGTATTGCAGACAAAATTATACACTGTGGTGCGTGTACAAACACTGCCTTGTGGGGTCCCGGAACAATGGGAGGTACCCCACAAGGAATGCCCACCGACTTGCGGGGTACCGTTTCGGTACCCCACAAGTTTTTCACGAAATATGGATTTTACTCAAAAACTAGGATTTCCAAGGTGGGTTGATATGTCGCAAATGGAAGATGTTTAGAAAAGGGATATTAGGTCCGAATTTTAGCCCAGGAAATTAATTCAGGTTAAAATAAGGGTATTTTGAAATTGGTGTGTGACGTTGCAAAACTTTAGTACACGAGAACAAAGGAAGTACCCCACATGCCTATGTAAGCGTGTGTGCGTGTGAGTGCGTGTACAAACACTGCCTTGTGGGGTACTGGAACAATGGGAGGTACCCCATAAGGAATGCCCACCGACTGGCGGGGTACCGTTTTGGTACCCCACAAGTTTTTCACGAAATAGATATATGGATTTTACTCAAAAACTAGGAATTTCCAAGGTGGGTTGATACGTCGCAAATGGAAGAGTTTTAGAAAAGGGATATTAAGTCCGAATTTCAGCCCAAAAAATTAACTCTGGTTAAAATAAGAGCATTTTGACATTAGTGTGCGACGTTGCAAAATTTTAGTACACGAGAACAAAGGAAGTACCCCACTTCTACGCCTATGTTAGCGTGTGTGGGTGGGTGGGTGGGTGGGTGGGTGTGTGTGTGTGTGTGTGTGTTGATTTAGGGGGTGTGTTTAATATGCCCTCGGGTTAAATGACACTCTCGAGTTCGCCTTAGTTATTCCCTGTTTAAAAAAACCCACACTTTTAACTTAGGAAAGCATTGATGCTTTGTTTTATACAACCAAATAGGTCCAAGAGGTACAAGTGGTGGTTCACCAGTTGTTGGTGGCGTACCCCAACCAGTCTCTTCCTCTGCTTTAGCCCCAAGGTTTACTTCACCTAGGCAAAACATCTTGACAACAATGGAGGGCATCAACATAACCCTCAAGAAAGGAAGCATCACTGATGAAACGGTAAAAGATAGCTTTTTATTCTCCAGAACCTCAATCAGTTACAACTAATAATTTCAGTAAGTAAATGTCTAGTGTGTTTAACCTATTTTATGATCACTATTTTTCAAAAAAAATGTAGGCGAGAGTTATTTTCTGAGGTGCCATCGGTATGCAAGAAACACGCTCATGCAATACGCACGTGCGCACCTTATAATGTTTACCAATGAGCGACCCACTTAAAGGTCTAAATTTGTGTTTTTAGGTGGTTTAGAAGATGATACATTAAAAGATATAGGTTTTCAATGGCGGCCGTCTTTAAAATCCAAGATGGCCGCCGCAAGGTATCTGGACAAATAAACAATTTGGCCCTAACCCAAATGGCTCAGTTATGTTCCTTGACCATGGAAATATATGTTTAGACACCAAGATTTATGTCCTAAGTGGCTTAAAGACGCAAAACATGTATTTGTAGATATAGGTATCAAATTGCAGCCATCTTTCAAAGACAAGATGGCCACAATGATGTATCTGGACAAACCAACCATTTGACACTATCCTATATGGAACAGTTGCATTCCTTGAAACTAAAAATGTACGTTTAGACACCAAAATCTGTATCCTAAGTGGCTTAGAAGATGAGATATAGATAGATATAGTTTTTCAATGGCCGCCATCTTTAAAAATCCAAGATGGCCGCCATAATGTAATTGGATAAAGTGGTTTCTATCAAAAATTCAAAGCTAAGGCTATCAGGAACATATATGGGAAATTTGGCGCTTCTGTCCGGAATGTTCACATTCATTCCAAAATCTGGCCTAAGCATGATGTGGCAGAGCCTTTCCCTCCCCCAAGTACATATCTTAGGCATATTTGAGGCCTAAATGGGCATTATGCTTGGTATGAAGTGACAATACGAGCTTGGATTTAAACGTAATCAAATTATGCTGGACTGACTACAAGCATGTCAATGTTCACTTTTGAGACCCAGTTACCTTGTCTGCATTGGGAAAGAGTGATCATTTGTGTATCTTGTGGAGACCCGAAGTGCAGGGTATACAAAAACAGAGCAGCAAAAGGACATACCGTCCCATGAAAGATTCACAGTTGAGAGTGTTTGGTGGGTTGATCAAAGAACAGGACCCCTCTCCTGGCCTAACGTTCTCTAAGCTGAAAATACCCAACGTAAGGCAGACGCACTTTACGAGTCTATCCATGACGCAGTTGATAGATTCTTTCCTATGTAAACAATAAAAACCCAAAGCAATATTAAACCTTGGATGCCAATAGAAAGTTACATCACTTGTAAAAAAAACAAAGAGACAGGTTGCGTTCAGATCAGGTAGAGTCGAGGTGTACAATAAATTTCGTAATAAGGTCATAAGAGAGATTAAGAAGGCCAACAGAGTCTGCATTCTACAAGAAACAAATCCAAGAAAGTGGTACCAGCAGATAAAATTAATGACTGGCAACACTAAATATGTCCTCAGAATACCTGTCCAGGGAGTGAGTGATGACGAGGTTTCTTCTTATATCCCCCCTCTCGATATTGGTATTCTCGAGGCCTACTTACAAGCCATATGGAGCCACCACCATCATTCTATTCTTGGGAAATGTACACTGAGCTAAAAAAAAAAAAAAAAAAAAAAAAAAAATCTAACAAAGCAAATGGTCCCAATTGGATTTCTCCCAAGCTTGTTAAAGAATTTGCCTGTGAGTTGAGGAAACAATGGAAAAAGGTCATAGTAGTACCCATACCGAAGACAAAGCCCACCAGGGCTAATAAACTCAGGCCAGTTTCTTTGACTGACTGCTTTGCAAAGATAGGGGAGGGTTTTGTATTACTGGGTTTGGGATGATATTCAAGACAAAATCGAACCTCAGCAATTTAGCAATATCATTGGCATTTCCACCTCCCATTATCAGTCTCCTCCATAAAATACAGCCATTTTGCCCCTGCATAATCGTCGAGATAATTTAGGTGAATTATTGCAGAGCTATCCGAGTTTCAACAAATATATGCTTAGAATACTAGATTTGGATATTTCCCGTGTCTACATGATCTAAATTCTTTATCTAAGTCAGAATCTAAGTTGTTTTGTGTTGTTTTACTGTTACTGGAACATCAACTTTCTCTTTGCAAGAAAAGCCTCTCTGTTGAATAAGTACATACACGTGTATCTTAATTGTTTGGGTTTACAGGTCGATATAATAGTCAACACTGCTGGAAGTGATATGAACCTTAGTGGTGGTGCAGTGTCTAAGGCCATATTGCAAGCAGCTGGGCAACGCTTACAGCTAGCGTGTAACAACGTGATTTCTAGTCGAGGAAACATCCTACCTGGTGAATTCATAGAAACGGGCCCAGCAAATCTAACATGCAAAACAATCTACCACTGCGTCTGTGAAAAATACAGTCCAGCCAGAGCAGAGAAGGTGAGAGGAGCAATGCATATAATTCGGAGAGAATGAGGTGGGGGCGTTCACCAACTTTCTTACTGTTTGAATTGAGAAAGAATTTCTTCGACAACCTTTTACTTATTGCCTCACAATAATTCGCCATTGTTAATGAAACTTCAACCTGGCTTTAATGCCATAACCCTCACAAGGCCTGTACGTGTTCCTGTCCAATCAGAATTCGGAAAGTAAAAGAGAGACCCTTTTTTGAAACTACGACTGAACTATAAGTGCCCCTTATGTACAGCACTGTACACTTACAAGATATATAAAACGGACTTAGACAATTATTGAAGAGGACGATTATTTCATGATTAAGTTCCTGAAGGAGCTTGTCCTCAGTTTGATGGAGCACGCTGAGCAAGATGGAATGCTTTCCATAGCAATCCCAGCACTCGGTACAGGCATACTGGATTACCCCGCTGATGTCACTGCCCGGGTCATGTATGAATCAGTCTTGGAATTCAGCAGTCAACATCCGAATGGTGTACTGAAGGACGTCCGCTTTGTAGTCTACGAGAAAGATACGAAGACTGCGCAGGTATTTACATATCAAAATTTCAACAGCAAATCTTTCCTCACCATGAACAACCGTCGCCAAAAACCACCCCCTTGTGTGTTCCATAAGGCAAGTGTATTTTGGCCGGGAACCACACACAGAACTCTTTCTACACATGGTAATCCGTATTTTTAGAACACTTCTATTTATTGTACGAGTTCCGTTCAAATCGACTTTTGCAGATGGCTGTATAGTATTGTACAAAGTGACTTTGGCAGGCTAAATCAGTGTGTTTTTCTTCAGATTAACTAATGGTTGTTGTAAGTTTGAAACCACTTTAAAAGAATATGTGACTTTCCTACCTTTTTTGCAGTCAGCCGTGCACTTTGTAAACTTGTAGTTTTCACAACACCTGTAGTTCTCACAAAATTTAACTTGTTGACATTCTAGATGGTCTCATAACAAGCTGTTGAGATGACAAGAAATATCAGAATGTCACTTTTGAGCGCCATTTAGTCAGTTGTTTTGGTGAGTCTGTTAACCTTATATGGAACGAGGTCCTGAAGATAATGATTACCACATGTGCAGTAACTTTTGATTGTCATTTAGTCAGTTGTTTTGGTAAGTCTGTTTATTGGAACGGGGTCCTAAATATCATGATTACCACATGTCACTTTTGACTGTCATTTAGTCAGTTGTTTTGGTGAGTCTGTTAACCTTATATCAGAATGTCACTTTTGAGTGTCATTTAGTCAGTTGTTTGGTGAGTCTGTTAACCTTATATAGGAATAGGGTTCTAAAGAAAATGATTACAACATATATATTCAATGCGATTTAACAAGCTGTCACGTTTGTATGTTTTGCCACTCATGCATCAACCATGTACTTCGTGATAAAACAGAAATGTCGAACTTTTGATCCTAAATAAACTTGTGTAACGAAAAGTGTGGGTTTCTAATGTAAAGTCTATAACTTGATTTATTTGTAACCTACTAACTGTACAAAATTAAGTTAAGTTGTAAATTTGGAAGACCCCATTTGTTTCTGAATGATACATTATTACAAAAATTTGGTCAAAGTTCACAGCAACATGTTAAAGGTCATGGTGCCCTACTTTTCACAAAATTTAATTTTCACAAAAGAGTTGATTTGAGCATGCCATTCTCATTATTTTAGTACCACGTTTGTGCATATTTGTTGAAAAATGACACGGTTATGGCATATCTGTACCAAACAGGTGATATTTGTATCTAAAAATGCATTTTTTGGGTGGTTTCTGCCCTGACTACATGGTAGGCCGGATAGGGCTAAAAAACTGGTGTGCATTCACAGCTCATCAGGATCTACAAGCCCAGCAGTTTTTATCAAAATCGGAAGACTTAAGGTAAAAAGGTGAGTTGTTTGACATGGAATGACCCATGTGTCAGACTTGGTCCCAATTACAGACCTAATTACGTGTGAAATCTTTATTAAGTTATAATGTCTGTATAAATTTTGTAGTGTTTTGAGAGTGAAATTCAACGCGTGCTGACCCCAGCAACACCAAACGGAGCTACAGGATTCATCCCTTCTGGTCACGGAAAGAAGATAAAACAAACTGGCTTGTCAGCAGGTAAACCAACGCATTAAGCTCTATTTGAAAATCATTACCCCGTCCTTTGATTTTACTTCTGCAATAATAGGGTTCACCCCTTCTGGCCACGGAAGGAAGTCAAAGAAAGTTGGCTTTCATCAAGTAAATAATGGTGGTGTAGATTAATCTAACAGTGCATGGTAAGTAAAAAAAAATAAAAGGAAACGCAAATGGTGCCCCTTATTTTTTAATTAAGCAGTTTTTAGCATAAATGATGAAAGGTTTGTGGAAACACCATGTGTGACTAATTTCTCAACAAAAAGAATGTTTCTGAAAAGAACCAGAAGTATAAACTCTGAAGAGTTTTATACCTCTGTATAAACTCTTAAGAGTTTATACCTCTGAGGTATAAACTCTTAAGAGTTTATACCTCTGGTTTTTACCTCTGGTTCTTTTCAGAACCAGAGGTTCAGAACTTGGAAAAAATATATCTCGTAAAAACGAACTTGGAAAAAATATATCTCGTAAAAACGAACTTGGAAAAAATATATCTCGTAAAAACGAACTTGGAAAAAATATATCTCGTAAAAACTAACTTTGGGAAAAATATATCTCGTAACAACCAATTTTGAAAAAATTTATCTCGTAAAAACGAATTTTGGGGAAAATATATCTCGTAAAAACGAACTTTGAAAAAATATATCTCGTAAAAACGAACTTGGAAAAAATATATCTCGTAAAAACGAACTTTGGGAAAAATATATCTCGTAAAAACGAACTTGGAAAAAATATATCTCGTAAAAACGAACTTGGAAAAAATATATCTCGTAAAAACGAACTTGGAAAAAATATACTTCACTTTTTTCAAAATATATACTTGATGGCACTACAGAGCTTTCGTATGGATAACGGAACTAGGCTGGGGATGAGTAAGTGAGCGAGTATGGGTGTGAGTGAGGGAGTCTTGCCCTTGGTGTTGATTGAGTGGGTGGATATGATGTGCCCTTTGGGGCAAATGGCACCCTCAACTTCGCCTTGTTTTCCCCTGTTAAAGACAAATACATTTCAACTTTAAGAAAAAAAAAACATTGATTCTTCGCTTTATACACACCAAAGGGCCTACAGGTGCAAGTGGAGGTTCACCACTTGCCCCTGCCCCTGCTCCAGTCACAGTCCCAGGGATTACTTCATCTGGTAAAAACATCCTGACAACAATTGAGGGCATCAACATAACCCTGAAGAAAGGGAGTATCACCCATGAAACGGTAAAATTACTTTGTATTCTCAAGAACCTTTAATCAGTTACGATTATTAAGTAAGTAAATGTATGGTCTTTTTCCTAGCCTAATGATTAATAGAGACTACTTATTAAAGCGAGAGCCATTTTCTAAGGTGCAATCAGGATTTCCAGAGTCAAGCTCAGTTGATACGCACTCACAAAATACCAATAACCCTCTGTACTAATTACGTCTCGCAATGTTTACCGCAGTGCATTGTGGGATTGAGTGGGGGTCGTCGCACCGCGATAGCTATAGAAAACATATAGTATTGTGTATTTGGGTCTGATTTATTTTAATTTTGCACCAAACACTAAAGCTATCGAAAACGACCCTCAAATGCGATAAAACCTCGTCTTAATTAATCTTAACTATATTCCAGGTCGATGATTCCTAAAAAATAATGGAGAATTTAGGTATGCACATGGTACTACGCGTATACATCGAGCGTGACAGTGTACGGTGGCGCCAGTACAGCTGGCAACGAGCGACTTGCTGCGGCAGCTGCTTCGGGAAACATGTTGCTTCAAGTAAGAGCGGTACGTGCAACCTCGAAATGAATGATTAAACCAAATAAGTACATCAAAAAGTTACCCGCGGAAAATACATACATACAAAAAGACAGATCGCGTTCTGTGAATTAAATTGCAGAAATTTTCTCCACCAATTTTGTTTGGCAGCTGGGACCGAGTTGACTCGGGACCGGGTTTACCCCGACCGAGTTAGGTTCGAGTCAACTCGGTCCAAATCCATGTCAGTTCGAGTCAATCATTACCAAGTCAACTCGGTACCACGTTAACTCGGTCTCAGGTTTACTAGGTTCCAAGTCAACTCGGTCCCACATCAACTTGCTGGGGAAAATGCTCTAGCAAGGCACCGGGAGCGAAAATCAAACTGCGTCATGTTAGTGGCCATGCCATGTTAGTGTACATCAACAAAAGTGGTTACGTCATACACCTCTGAGGCCATTCCTTTGCCGAGGTTACGGGTTCCACACAAACCGTGCCTTATATGTAGCGGTGCCCACAAAATGAACGGCATCGTTAAGTAACGTATGCAGTTATTTATCTTATTTTCCAACGGATAAGAAAAAATGATGAAAAGTGACCACCGTGCTATAAGCCCAGGTTTGTGTGGAACGCGTGACCTCAGCAAGGCGTGATATCAGCGGTGAATGACGTAACCACTTTAACGCGTATTGTTGATGTACCCTAATATGGCACGGCCCAATAACATGGCACAATTTTATTTTTTTTCCCTATAGTGCCTTATTGCTAGAGCATTTTCTCCCCCATCAAGTTAATTTGGGACCGAGTTGACTTGGGACCGAGTTGACATGAACTGACTTGGATTGGGACCGAGTTGACCCGAAACCAACTCAGTCGGGGTCAACTCGGTCCCTAGTCAACTCGGTCTTAGTTGCCAAACAAAATAGGTGGAGAAAAGTTCTGCAATTTGATTCACAGAACGTGATATGTCTTTGTTTTGTAAGATGTATTTACCGTGGTTAACCTTTTGATGAATTTATTTGGTTTAATCATTGATTTCGAGGTTGTACGATTGTACCGCTCGTACTTGAAACAGCGTGTTTCCCCGCCAGCGGCTGCCGCAGCAAGTCGCTCGTTGCACGCTGTACTAGCGCCACTACACAGTCACGCGTGCAGTATAAGCGTAGTACCGTGCGATATATGGCCATCGTGACTATAGCGTTGTGCATAACTAAATTCTCCGTTATTTTTAAGAATCATCTACCTGAAATATGGTTAAGATGAATTAAGACGAGGTTTTATCACATTTGAGGGTCATTTTCGATAGCTTTAGTAACGCAATTAAAATAAATCAGACCCATTATACTTAATACTACATGTTTTCTATAGCGATCGCGGTGCGGCGACCCCCACTCAATCCCACAATACACTACGGTAAACATTGCGTGACGTAATTAGTATACAGAGGGTTATCAGTGGCAAATAGTGCTACCAAAATGTGTGTATATATATATATATATATATATATATATTTATGCCCTTTAAAAATGCGTTCGGCTAGCCGCTGAACGCGGTTCTACCTCAAAATGGCATTTATGTCTGTGCACAGACTTTTTGTAAATATCCTTTATTGTGCAGGTGCGGTAGCTATTGCATTCAAAATGAAGCATGATGTCGAAGAGCTCTGCTCTTACCCAAATGCATATTTGAAGCATTTTTGAGTCTTATGGGCATTTTGCTTGGCATCAAATGACAATTTGACTTTGGTCGAACGTAATCGAATTTTGCGGGATTGAAGAAGTATGGCGAGCAAGTTGTTGGTAAAATGAACCATTGGGCCCTTGCATAGTCTTTTGAGATAATTTAGATGAATTATAACAAAGCTATCCGAGTATCAACAAAGCTATGTTTAGAATACTAGAATACTAGGTGTCTGCATGATCTTATTCTTTATCTTAGTCAGATATTCAGACTGCAAGATATCAGTTTTAAGCAAGATGAAGTTTTATGACCTGATATCAGACATTTCACAACAACTAAAATTGTGTTTGTCCTGTTACCTCAAGTTTATCTTTGCAACATAACAATAGCCTCATCGTTGAAAGGTACACACATGTTTATTCTAATTTGTTTTGCTTTACAGGTTGATGTTATAGTGAACACTGCTGGAACTGACATGAACCTAAGTGAAGGTGCAGTGTCCAAGGCCTTATTGCGGGCAGCTGGGAAAGCCCTACAGCTGGAATGCAGTACAGTGACTTCTACTCGTGGGAAAATCCCAGCTGGTGAATTCATTCAAACGGGACCGGCAGCTCTAACATGCAAAAAGATCTACCACTGCGTCTGTGAAAAATACAGTCCAGCCACAGCAGAGAAGGTGAGAGGAGTATAGTAATGCATAACATTTGAAGATATGGAGATGGGGGATTCACCAAGTTTCTTACTGTTTGGTGTCATTCTGTAACGTTTTACTCATAACCTCAAAAATGTTCGTACTTCAACCTGGCTTTTATGCAATAACCCGCACAAAGCCTGTGTTCCTTCCCCATCAGAATTTGCAAAAGTAATAAAGAGAGTTCCCGTTTGTTTGGACTTTGACTAAACTATGAGACTGCCAATCATTAACAGCACTGCAAAAATACAAGATAGATAACGGATGACATGAGTAGCGAAACGGGTGATTATTTTTATGATTTAGTTCCTGAAGAAGCTTGTCCTAAGTTTGATGGAGCACGCTGAGCAAGATGGAATGGTCTCCATAGCAATCCCAGCACTCGGTACAGGCATACTGGATTACCCCGCTGATGTCACTGCACGGGTCATGTATGAATCAGTCTTGGAATTCAGCAGTCAACATCCGAATGGTGTACTGAAGGACGTCCACTTTGTAGTCTACGACAAAGATGTGAAGACTATTAAGGTATTGGTTGCAAACCCCTAACTGTTCAAAGCAATTCTTTGCCAAACACGGTCTTATAGTCTTTACACTCGTTACACTTCGTTGGTCAAGCAGGATTACTAGTGATTAGGTTATGGGGGAGGGAAGGTGCCGGTACACCTCAAAAACCTATCACCTTCGGTATGTTTTAATGCTTAGTATGTCCCCAATAGGAAATGTTAACAGCAAACAATTTAGTGATGGCCTCTGTTACGAGGTCACTTTTGAACCCCCTCTGCTATCGTGAGCTGATATAGGGTTGGAAGGGGATGAAACAAAATCAATCTTAATCTTTAAGTGTTTCAAAATATCTAAGTCGCCATTGAAGTTAATTATAAAGGGCGCAAGAGATCAAACCAACATTATGTCGACATATATTTTGAACGCCTCCGAATATTTTGCTTAAGTTTAATCATTGGCGGTTCAAATTTGATCTTAAAAGCAAGCATGGTAAACAGCACATAAGTGTTGTTTGTCTGAGTGTAGTTGAACGTATTTGAGAGTAAGGTCTCGGTAAATTGAAAATTCACCATTTTTGGAATGACACAAGACCCACATGCTGTATCAAAAAATAATCAAATAGCACTTTGGGTAGAAGTTGATAAATCAGTCTTTCAGGTACAAGGGAATTTATTTAACAATCTTAGGGTAGACTGGTACCTCCATGGTCAACGAACCATAGAGTTGTTAGTCATTACTTCTGCTTGTCTCAACAATTTGTGGACCTCATGCATGAACAGTATATGGCTAACTGAATTCCTTGTTCTGAAATCTTCGTTTATGTTGTAGTGTTTTGAGGGCCAAATTCAAACGCTGACCTCTGCAACGCCAGGAGGAACTGCAGGACTCACCCCTGTTGACCTCGGAAAGAAGTTGAAACAGGCTGGCTCTTCACAAGGTAAATAAACGCATGTAGCTCCATTCGACTGTGACTTACCTCGTATCTTTGTGTTGACCCCTGCAACACCAAGATTAGTATACAGGATTCACCCCCTTCTGGCCACGGAGAGAAGTTGAATCAAGCTGGCTCTTTAACAAACGCATGTAGCTCTATGTTTCACGTGTGTTCAAGCTCATTGCGTGCGTTTGGTCCATTATGTCCTGCAACAGATTTTGACGAGCGACCCATTATGCCCGACAGCCCATTATGTCCGACCCATTGTGTCCGACAGCCGATAATGTCCGACCCGTTATGTCCGACGGCCCGTTATGTCCGACGTAGTAATTCAGATCTCCTATGTTTATTTAGTGTAGAGGACGCTCAGGGGCGACAAAAAAATTAATATCGAAGGCAACTTAACGTCTTATCCAATACACGTGCATTATGTGTCATGCGCAGCGGAAGGGTTGACCAGTGTTATTGTTCAAACAGAGGGGGGGGGTGTTGAGAAATATCATGCGTCCTGGAGAAACAAGCCCATCCGCATACGACGAGCGAAGAGGGCATTGGAGCTATAATAGTCTCTTCTTCAGAGCGAGCGATAAACCATGCCCTTAAGGAAAGTAGGCCTAAACGGTTTACGCTTGACTGTTGTTACGAAAAAGCGACCCGATTCCCATGATAGATGTTAACTTTGCACTCTATAAGTCTGAGAAGATTCCTTGGTTACATTGCGCATGCCTTAGCAGAAATTATTGGGACAGTGAAAAGTCACATTGTAAGGGTATTTAGAACCCAACATATAAGTTGAACTGGACCAGCTTTCATAGGACACTCCGTTTTCATATGACAACGTTAACCAACTTTCCGAGTCTGTTTGACCCGCGGAAAGAATTGGGTTACGGAAACCTGGGATTCCCGGTATCAATTTCGGTTCAAATTCGACCCTCTACTGTTAAGAGTGAATGCTTCTAGATATTGGGCTATGTGGCCGCACTGTGAGTGTTAAATTAAGATTTGTCTTCCACATTATCAGCAGTGAAGACCTGCAAAGGCTCCTTTGCCTGAATGTTTTGCCCTCGAAACTTCTGCTGCTTGGTGATTTGAACCTCCATGCAGACTGTCCTGAGAAACCGGATGTCGCCCAGATGTCTGCCATTCTCTCTGCTTCAGGACTGAAACAACATGTTACTGAGCCTACGCATGCACAAGGACACACTCTAGATTGGCTGGTGACCAGAATCAATGAAGATGGATAATTGATCAATCACAAGGTCGACATGAACGAAATGTCTGATCACGCTGTGGTTTCTTGTAAACTTAATCTCACTTAACCGAAAGTGGTGATCACTTCATCTTCATCCCGCAACTATGGTAAGATAGATCACACAACTTTTGCAAATGATCTGTCAGATCACCTTCATCAGCATGTGTGTCATGATGGAACTGTTGACAAATTCTTGAACGATATTGATAATGCCATTATCACAGTTCTCGACGTACACGCACCTACGTCATCCTGCTCTAAGCCAAAGCGCCACAGACCTAAGTGGTATAACAACTTAATCGATGAGGCAAGACGGTGAGCGTCGCCGAGCTGAACGCAAATGGCGTAAGCAAAGACCTAACGCTGACAAATGTGCCTTTGACGCAGTCAAGCGCACCGTCTCTGAAACTCTTGCTTCTGTTAGATGCAGTTTCTACAAGGAATCCTTGACTAACACAAATCCTAAAATCGTCTTCCGTACCATCAATGAATTGATTGGCAGCAACCCACAAGTACCTACCGTTTCAATCTCACCAACTGCGCTGGCCAACCAATTTAGTCAACGTTTTACGGAGAAGGTAAAGAACATTCGTTTGTTTATTGCTGATCACCATGTCGACGAGCAACTGTCTGTTACCTCACCGTCTCCAGATTGCCAGTTGTCTGATTTTTCATCCTGTCACTTCTGAAAAAATCTTGAAGATTGTTCAGCGATCTACCAATAAATCGTGCCAACTGTATCCAATTCCCACATGGTTACTCAAGTGTCACATTATGACCTTTCTTCCCAAGTTGACTGAGATTGTTAAAGCATCCTTACAATCAGGTGTCTTTCTGGAGAGTCTGGGGGATGCAATAGTAACACCAATCTTGAAAAAGCCTTCACTGGATAAAGAGGATCTTAAGAATTATCGCCCAGTTTCTAACATCCGCTACCTGTCCAAAGTCATTGAAACAGTAGTCCGCTCCCAACTCACTCAATACCTGGACGATCACAAGCTACTGGATCCGTTGCAGTCAGCATACAGAGTTGGTCACAGCACCGAGACGGCTCTGCTCAGGGTACACAATGACATCCTCCGTACAATGGACAACAGCAGAGCTGTTTTCTTAGTAATGCTTGACCTCTCTGCAGCTTTGGATACTCTTGACCACGATATCATACTGCAACGCTTTCGTGATCGATTTGGAATCACTGCAACAGCCCTTCAGTGGTTCTCGTCCTACTTCACAGGAAGAACACATTAGGTTCATGCTGCAGGTGCCAACTCCGATGTCCATCACCTTGAGTTTGGTGTCCCTCAAGGATCTGTTATCGGTCCACGTGCTTTCACCATGTACGTTACTCCTATTGGGGACATCCTTCATCGGCATGGAGTAAGTTACCACATGTATGCTGATGACATTCAAATCTACCTGGATTTTAATCCTACCATTCCGTGTGATGCTGAGTGCTGCTTGTTTAGGCTATCCAACTGCATTCAGGATGTTCAAACCTGGATGCTTGCAAACAAACTCATGCTGAATGAAAACAAAACAGAGTTTTTCATAGCATCGTCGCCATATCATTCCAAACGTCTTCAGCTACTAACCCTCACGATAGGCAACACAACCATCAATCCTGTCTCATCTGTTCGGAACTTGGGAGTAACCTTTGACAACTCCATTTCAATGAGTCAACATGTCACTGGTCTGTGCAGGTCCATTAACTATCACATACGCAACATCACAATGATCCGCAAATACCTGGACTACGACACCTGTCATTCTGTTGTTCGTGCACTGGTACTCTCACGCCTTGACTACTTCAACTCTCTTCTCACCGGACTTAAGCAACACGATCTCAACCGCCTACAAAAACTCTAAAACAAGGCTGCTCCACTGATCCATATGAAGCCGAAGTATTTCCATGCCACACCTCTGCTCCTGGATCTCCATTGGCTTCCAGTCAACCAGACGGCACTGAACATGTACAAAACTGTATCCAACACTTTCCCACCATACATTTCGAACACATTTGATTTCAGCAAACCCAAACGTGAAGGTCTTCGATCACAATCTAATCTGGTGGTACCTCAATCCTCCAGAAAGTTTGGAGATCGTGCATTTTCCATCGCTGGTCCCCGTAGCTGGAACTCTCTCCCCATATCCGGAACGCTTCATCTGTAGAGTAGTTTAAAGCTATAGTCCATCATTTGCAGCCATCCGAAAAAGTAACTGGCGTATTATTGTTAAAAAACATACTTGTTGAAAGATAGTAAGGGGACAGAACTCCCTGTGAAATTATTCTTTCTGGCGAGCTGTCATTTTGAAGTAATCAACGAAAGAAGGCATTTCCAACGGTGCGTCTTAAGACGCACCATAGGAAAATTTAAATTAGTAGTTCGTTTTGTTATTCGGCGCAGCGCGCGCAAGCATTGGCACGACGCACAGGCGCGCGCAGTTGCTATAATTCGTCGGATCAGTGCGCGACATCGCGTAAAGCTGTAATTCAAAACAATTCAAAATATGATTCAGCAACTTTTGATTTGAAATTGAGATCCTAGAATGCTGTTATTCTCGGAATATACAGCTGAAGCTGAGCTGAAACTTCATCAGATTAGTTGTTTAGTATCCTTCATTAGATTTTGAACACTTTTGTTGCTTCAAACGAACAAAATGCACATATTACAAATGATGGACTATATCTTTAAGGGACTCTTAAAAACACATCTGTTCAATCGTATCTTCTAATTTTTATTTGATTCTGCTGTAAGACATGTATTTATATGCTCTTATTTGGATAATCACATTTTGGTTTTGGTTGCATTCTCCCCAAGCGCTTTGCATCCTTTGGAAAAGGCGCTTTATAAATAAGGTTATTATTATCATTTTAAAATTCGTCGATCGACCGTCGCACATAAGAGGGTCGGACACAGTTGGCCGTCGGACACATTAGGTTGGACATTATAGGCTGTCGGACACATAAGTTGGACATAATCAGCCATCGAAAATGATGGATCGGACATAATCGACCGCCGGAGACATTGGTGCGGACAAAATTATTCGTCGGACATAATCGGCCTTCGGACACAATGGGACGGACATAATCGAACGTCGGACATAATGGGTCGGACAAAATCATTCGTCGGACATAAGGGGTCTGGCATAATCGGCCATCGGAAACAATGGGACGAACATAATCGAACGTCGGACATACTGGGTCGGACATATTCATTCGTCGCACATAATGGGTTGGACATAATGGACAAAACGGACATAATGGGGCAAAAAAGGTAAGAGACAATATGGTAAAAAAAAAAATTGAGGACAGTTTCAGTCAAAAGGATCCTAAAAGTGCATGGCGTGGACTGAAAACTATCACCGGCTGCGGACTAAAGACAAAAAGCATCGATCCACCGGATAACTTTAACGAATTTGTAAATGAACTAAATGTTTTCTTCAGTCGCTTTGACGTATAACAGACTTTAGCTATGTAAACATGCAAATTGGAGAGGCGCTGAATGTAAAGGCAAATAACAACAATAGGCTGGAACTCAGTAGGCCGACTGTGGAAAATACTTCAAAGAAAGCAAAAACTAATAAAGCAAAAGGATTTATGATCCAGACGGAGTCTCCGGTAAAATACTAAAAACCTGCTGCAAAGAACTGTCGCCAGTGTTCTGCGATCTCTTTCAATGGTCGCTTGACTAGCATCAGATTCCAAAGCTGTGGAAATCGTCAATTGTTGTCCCAGTACCCAAAGTAGCCAAACCATCTGTCCTGAACGATTACCGGCCAATTGCTCTCAAAGCTGCTGTGATGAAGTTTTTGATGGTCAGACCCCAGAAAGTAAGAGTTGCCAGTTCACTCTCCGACATAATCTACACAAGTTCTGGACCGCCACTAAGTTGTGTCCTGTCGCCAGTTCTTTTCTCGCTTTACACCAGTTACTATCTTTGCAACACTATAACTCGCTCTGTTGTGAAAAATGCTGGCGACACATCATTGACAGGCTTGATCCTTCAAGACGTTGAGTCTGATTACAGAACTGAAATAGAACAATTTGTTCAATGGTGCGATGACAATTTTCTTATGCTAAACGTATCAAAAACAAAAGAACTTATTTTTGACTTTCGTAAAAAAAAAAAATAATGCCGGTCATGTTAGTGTCGGGAGCCGCGAGGTGCGATCCAGGATGGTGGTTAGGGTTGCTCGCTACCGGGGGTGAAGAATAGCTTCTTCTCAGAACAGACTTCAATTTCAAAACAATTTATTTCCAGATTTGATTCATTGACGTGGAAGCATAAATAAAATATATAAAAACCCCTATAGAAAAAGTGAAGAATAACAAAGTTTGAGTAATCTTACTCCCTATATTGTGAATTAAGATAAGTTCAAAAATTATTCCAAGTTATTTAAAATCAATATAGCTCTTTTATAATAAAGATACTTAGATATACAAAGCTGACATATGATGCGTTTGTTTTTCCTTGCTTTAAATATAGTTTGACTCACCCAGTGCAGTAAAAAAATAAAACCTTGTTCCTGTGATTAAGCCCTCGTACTCTTTATACAAGCCATATATAAGTTGAGGCATAGTAAACTATTTGCACCGCCATGCACATCTCGGTCTCCTGTCTCGTTGAGGCTTAGATATGGGTGGAAACGATTCGAGAGTAGAAACCGAGATGAGGATTCCTCATAGACCGAAAAGGGGTGGGTGGGTGGGGAATCAAAACAGACAAAGTCATACTTACAACCGTAGTGCCGACTGCACTTACCGCACCGAACAGTCAACCATCCTCTCCCATCTCGCCAGAATCGCGACTGACATTGAGTCAGTCGCCCTCTACGTTCACAGCGGTGCAAATAGTAAACTATTTGCACCGCCATGCACATCTCGGTCTCCTGTCTCGTTGAGGCTTAGATATGGGTGGAAACGATTCTTCGCTCCGTCACAGAACTTGGCCCCTTTTGCGAACTCCACCCCCCTAAACTTCCCATCTCTCACCCCAAATCTCAAAGGAGAGGCCCCCCCCCCCTTTTTTTCTTTTTTCTTTTTGGTTTCTGTTTAAAGCAAATTCCCGCGTTTGCATAGTCCAATGATCCCGTGCGTACTGACGTCGCTCCTCACCTGTCCTTCCCTATTTCCTTGCGCCTGATACTCCCACCTCTGAAGCTGCTATGGTTTGCTGCCCTCCGCTCCGAACGCAACCTCTAACCCGAAACCGGAGTTGAGCGTTCGGTAAAACTCCCCAGCCAGGTCGGCCGCATGGGGATGGTTATGCTCGCCGGTGTCCAAAGCGTCCTTTAGCATCTTCACAGTCGTATTGCGTCTGGTAACCCTTTCAACTTCCGTATAGTGCTTATACGTGCGCCGAGTTGCCCAACGACAGTGGTCCATAACCTGCTGCTCGGTAGCACCCAGCAGACGGAGGGTCGTTGCAACACCTGCTCTACCCCCGTGGGGCCTCAGGGAGGCATCCGAGGTATCTGATGATGCGGAAAAATATAGCTGAAGACGCTTACTTGGACCATTACCGATGAAGGGCTTGTTGACCAGGCTCTGGTGATTTGGTGCTGTGGGACGAAATAGGTAGCCGTCCATTAGGCAAAAGCCATTCTGCTCTGCAAAGCCCACCATTCCGTCGACTGCCCCAGCTGGATCCAACTCCCCGTTACTTAGCTTGGGTATGATTATAAGAGAGGAGGTGCCCTCTCTGACCGTCTTGCCGACTGTATGATTAAATAACAAGTCACCACCTTCAATCCTGGTTATTTCGCACGTTTTTGTACGTCCTAGATCCGAGGACCGTTCCCCTGCCCACCACAGGCACAAGAAGAATGCCAGATCCCTATAGAAAATATATTGCTGCGTGAGACCTTTCCTGCCAGCCTCCTGCATGAGGGACATTCTTCTCCTGATCTCTTGAGCCAACCAGCGAATCTTATCGGAGAATATTGGGACCGCCTGTTGGGGAGTCACATGTGCCTCTGCCTGCTCAAGCTTTACTGCCTTCATGTATTTCTTCACCCGGTGGGAGATGCATGGATTTGATGACAGCTGGCCTTGCCGCCATGATTGCGTTTTACCGCAGGAGTTAAAAAATGCTCGGAGTTGGCCGACGTAGGCGTCTACCGTGCCCGCTGCCAGATGTCGATCGCAGCAACAGTCGAACGCACCGTGCTTTCCCAAATATTTGCACCCGAGTGAATGAACTTGAGTGCGGCCCCTCGTATCGCGGTCCACCAAAAACTTGACTATGTCGTCGGGGGTGACCATGTCCAGATCTGCACTATCTGTGAAATAACCTGAGCCCTGGTTCTGCTTGAGGAAATCAGCAAAATTGTTAACTAAGCTGCTCTTCTGTCTGTTGTAAGGTAACGAATCGACCTTGCCATCAAGCTCCTTCATTCTGGACTCCCATCGGGCCAACTGGATTATGAAAGGAGACAAAATAAGATTGAAAGCCTGATGTCTAATTGCCCAGCTCTATGTCGACCCCCGTTTGCAAACCAAGAAGACACCTTAGAAACCTCTGCAGATGCCTATGCAGTCTCAAACTGCCCCACAGTGTCAAATGGACTTCGTCTGCGAGGTCATGCTGAGTTATGTGGTCATTTGAGAGGAAGTGCCAACCCGCTTCCTGGCAAGCCTCCTTCAGTGCCGAATTTGCAGTGGCAACGGAACAGTTGACCCTGCTGCTCTTTGTCTGGCATATTCCCGACAGGACAAACCGGACCGTTGGATTCTGTACACATAACTGTTTTGCCGCCAAGGCAAAGACCCTCAACAGCCGCTTGACCCCAGCTGAGCAATCTGCACTCCTGCTAAAATCGTTAATGCCCCCATGAAGGACTGCGACCTCAGGCATCTGAACCTT